TGCCAAGATGTGTCCTCTTATTGATCCGGCATGATATCTTGGTTCTAGCTCTTTGAGCTCTCCATGAAGCCCAGTGAGCAGCATTTTGGCTTTGAGATGACTTGCAAAGAGTGAAAAATGCAGGGCAGGTAGAGGCTGTGCCAAGCCTTGCTTCCCAACCAGGAGTGCTCTGTAACCAGCTCATGCATTGAGCAAAGCTGACATTTCAGCCAGCTGGATAATGACAGCATCCAGAATTATAACAGGAAAGATTAAAAAAATGTGATTGCTAATGGGGAATTAATTGTTAATGGGGAGTCATCATTGCAGGAGGGTGTTCCCAGCATGGCCATGCAGAGATCTGCTCTTGGCCCACTGCTAATCACTCGCCTTATCAATTATCTTGCAGGCAGTGTAAAGCTGGTGTTGGAAAAGTTCACAGGAAACACGAAGGCTGATGTACAGAGCAGAATGGACAAGTCCATTGTCCACAAGCCCATTTACCATAAGAGCTGTATCTGGAGGACAACAACTCCAAAATGACCTTGCAGGAGGCATCTGGAGATGAAACACCAGAGCAAAACATGGCCTGAGACGCAGGGAGATGCCAGGAGGTGGGCAGGTGCAAACACAAAATTATAGAATGACTTGGGTTGGAATCGACCTTAAAGATTACTAGATCTTCAACCCACGGGCAGGTATGCCATGCAAGGCAACAAGAAGGCAGAGCTCACTCAGAGGGAAGCCTGCACCATGGCAGTCTCCCGCTCACACGTGCGTTGTCTTTCTGACCTTGTCTTCCCCACAGCTAACAGTCAGCAGCTGCGTACGGGTGTTGACAGAAATTCCAAAACACTCCATTGCACACACATCTCACCCTGGAGAAAGGATGGGAAACCAAACAAACAACACATGACAGATGTTTGTCATGTCACTTAATGCATGACTGAATGGCACTCTGATAGCGTGATAAAAGCAGAGAATACACTGCTCCCGCACTGCTGCTTTAGATCCAGTGCACGCATTTCAGAAAGGATGGCTACAAACACTCAGTATCAGGGAAGACTGACAGGAGCAATAGGGAAAAAGTAAGAATTGAGCTTGAGTAAGAGGATGCTGAGTAGAAGCCCAGACATTGGCCTGGCTGGGGTCTCTAGGTAGCTGTCTGGTGGTAATGGCTCTATCTTGAAATCTAGCAGAGAAAAGCACAAGGAGGTTCAAAGGCTGGGTGCTGAGGCTTCCCTTGAATCTGGAGTCTTTGAAAGAGCAAAGAGGTGAGAAAGGGTCTAAAATAATCCCTAACCTCTGTCTTGTACTGGGTTTGCTGCACCTGTGCAGCAGCACACGTCTCATCGATGCAGCCATTTGCTTTGTCAAGTGTTGTACAGATCCGTTATTTATAACCATGAATGATACAGAGCAGAGCTGTCGGTCACCAGGACCAGCTCAGAGCAGGACTCCAGCACCCAAGAAGCGTGTTGACATGAACACCAGCTGCTGCAGGGAAAAGCAAGAGAAAAGCACAGCACCATCTGCCCCTTGGCAGGGCAGAGTCCAAGAAGGCAGGCAGGAGGGATGCGTCCCCAGATTCCCTGCCAGCCTTCAGAACTGGTGCACAGTCATCCCAGGAATCACACAAGTAACTATATTCTGCTTCAGATTTTTTTTGTAACAGTGAATAATGGGACAAAATCAAGCCGAAAGAATGGCCGGATGCCTGAGGCTTTGGAAACCCTGTTTCTAAAGTGATCAGAGGAAGCAAAGCTGTTTGTCCTGGGGGGCACAGAAGGATCCTAAGATAGTCCAACCTGCTGAGCAGGTAAGTAAAATCAGATGCAAAAGAAACAGCAAGGGATGGAAGAGGGAAGAGGATCACAGCTCCAGCTCTGGAAATTCAGTGATGTGCAGGAATAGGAATACTCCAGCTGCGAACAGGGAGAAAAAAGGGGAATTAAAAATCATCCCAAACTTTTTTTCTCCTGTCCCAGTATACTGAAATTCCAAATTATTTCACTGTGGAAAAATACACCTCTGTTCCCAAACATGCACAAATTGGGTCTCTAGTGGTCCCATATCTCCCTAAAACCTGCCATGTAAGTGCACTATGCATTGTAAAGTGGCTCTGCAAGCCCAGAGGCATTGTCAGCATGCTGTGCTGAATGCTTCTCTCATCAAGAAGCCATGAGACTCCTGCTCCAATAGTACACTGAAAGAGAACATCTTCCTGGATGTCTCCATGGGCTCAGTCCTCCCTGGGTTTAGGACATGGGTAGCATCGTATCTGGCAGCATAAGTGCAGAGGCTGTCACAAACGAACCCCTTGGGCCCCATTGGAAGTGCAGTAAGGACTTTCATCCCAGCACTTTAACTGCATATCATCTGAATCACTATCAGAAAACCAGATGCACGTCTACAAACCAATCATGCACCTGTATGAAAATAAACTCCACCCTTACAGAGGAAAAAAGGCAAAACCCAAAGAAGCAAAGCAACTGGTTTAACCCTGCCAGGCTGATGCTCTAGGGACCTGCATGGGCCAAGTGATGCAGGAACAGAGTTGGTCACATTCTTGTCAGCCAACATAAACATCACATGACTTAAAGGGGAGAAAAGAAGGTATGCACAGTCGACCTGCTCCCAGAGAAGCCAATTTGCATGGCTTTGCTGTGCATTTCAAAGGCTGTTTATCGGCTCAGGCTTTGTCTTAGATGCAATGTGGGCAGCATCTCTAACGAGGCACGTTCGGATGGAGCTCTTGGGAGGCTTTGCAGCAGAACCGATTGCAAACGATTAGTGCTGGGGCTGAAGGGAGCAGGAGAGGAGGGAAACTGATGAAACAAAATCTCTGTCTTTTCCTCGGTTGAGGAAGGATGGGGGCTAATTGCCTGTTACTGGTGAGAAACAGAGGAGATAGTGGCTTCTCCACTCATCAATAAATTAACCCCAGCTTACGGCGCCTGAAATGCATTAATTTCCAGAGACGTTCATCTCCTTCTCTCCTCTCCCACATGAAAACATAATTATTGTTTAAACACGAGTTAATTCAGCAAGGTGAGGATCAATAAAACAGAATTACTCCTCTTTTAAAAGCAGAGAAATCTCAATCTGGAACAGCTGCGTATGTAACTCTGGCAAGGCTGACAGATGAGGACAGGGCTCTCTCTGGTCATGGCACCTAAGACCTAAGAGCTGCCTCTTGCATGGATTGCTGCAGCACCACTCATGCAGGTGCAGCATACTGTGTGCAGCACAGCCACCCAGCACGCACCACAGCACTCACAGTGCAGAGTGTCTGCTTCGGTAGCAATGGGATGGACAGTGAGCACACCATGCAACCTCCATTCACTCATCAAACCTCACTGAGTAATCCACCCTTGTGTCTCCTGCTTGACACTTACCTTTAGCAATCTACCATGGATACCAAGGAAAGGAGCACTACAAAAGGGGGGATCCTGTTGGCTGGTAGCTAGGTAGCCCACAAGGACTGTGTGCTCAGGCATGGTGGTTATTAACCCATGCTCAGGTAAAGCAAGCATGGTGTGGGCATCACCAAACTAGTTTGCCAGAAGCAAACTTCCCTGGAGTGAGACTGTTCTAGAGAGGGATGGAGGAAGGGCAGTTGATGCACGTCCCCTCAGGTCTATTTCCACCCCAAAAACTTGGGGCTTGGGGAGTCGCATCCAAAAAAAAAGTGCCCTTCACTCCTCCTGCTCCAAGGAGAAGGAGCAAAGATGAGCAGCAGAGGAGTTGACACACAAGCAACCTCACCACTGCTACATCCAATGCTGCTTTTATAGATTCATGTGGCACAATGCAGGACGCTCCAGTAATCACCAGTGTGCACGTGAGAGCCAGAAGCGGGTGGCCAGCCTTGCTGCACAGTGCGTCCGCTTGCTTAACAGCTTGTCACATCCTCCTCGCTCACGTATTCAGTGCTAATGCATCTCTTAAAGTGCTTCATGAGCTATTAAAGTTGAGCGTGCCTCAAGAGCGTGATAAATGGACTCTACACCTGCATCTTCCCCCACTCCATCCAGTCACTGCCATCAATGGGATTCATTCATCTTCCAGCCCCACTTCTCCAGCCTAAGCGGCAAGTGCAGACAGGGGATGAGGGCAGGGGATGAGGGAGGCTGCAGCTATGAGAAAGGGGTGAGTTCTGGGCAGGAAAAACAAGCAAACCCACATGCCACCAAATCCCAGCTGCAGGGCTGCACAAAATCACCCATCTGGATTTAGAGCAGGTCAGTAAGGTGCTCCTGCAGGATTTCTCAACCCCACCAAGTCCATGAATGCACAGATATTCTTATCAGAGCTAGCCAGCAAAACTCCGCTCCATAACTCACTGAAAGCAACTGCTGACTGTCAGGAAAACCATGGAGGCCCCCCATTCTGTTCTCTTTTACAAGGCTGCCACAAGTGACTCCATAGAGAAACCCAGACAGCTGCCCAAAAACGTCCTGCTCAGGTCTGGACCCAAGGTGGCATGGGGTCCTCCAGCTCCAAATACCATCAGTGACTCTAAAATATCGTCTCTCCAAAGCCCCAGATCCTCTGCTCACCTAGAGAGGCATGAGCTGATGGTGGGCGCAGATGTGAGGTGAGGACAAAATCACCCCAAGGAGATCACAGCACAACGGGGCAGCAGTGATAGCTGTGGGATTGGGTGTCAGGCACTGGGGCTGTCACGCTCTGCTTCTTCCCAGCCTCCCTTCCTTTCATGGTGCAGAAGAGAAGTAAAAGGGATGGGAAGGGTTGCAGGAGCATCCTGGAACAAGCAGGAGTCTGGGCAGGAGGAAACGCACCAAGAAGGACCAGCAGGTGCTGGTGGGACACAGGATGTCCAAATCCCTAGCACAGGCAGGAGGGGATGCACACATCAAGCAGAGGAGAAAACAATGACATCCAGAAATATAACATCAAGAAAATGCAACGAGCACACCCAGCTTGTGCTAGATAAGAGGCTAGAGGAGCAGCACCCGCATTTGTTGAGATCCCTCTGGAGATGGGACAAGACTCACCCTGGCTGTGCCTCTGAGCATACACCACCACCACCGCGGCGAGCACCACGCAGCAGGCTGACGGGACAGGATTGGCCATCTGTGGAAGCAAGCACAGACAGAAGCAGTCACGGTTTGCCACAGGAGAGCTTGCAAGCAGTGCACCCAGAGCTGGACCCTGCATGAGAGGAGCAAGGGGATACCATGACAATGGTGAGGTGCTGGAACAGGCTGTACAGAGAGGCTGTGGATGCCCCATGCCTAAAGGCGTTTAAGGCCAGACTGGATGGGGCCCTGGGCATCCTGGTCTAGTATTAAATGGGGAGGTTGGTGGCCCTGCCTGTGGCAGAGGGGTTGGAGATTCGTGATCCTTGAGGTCCCTTCCAACCCTGGCCATTCTGTGATTCTGTGCTGCCACGCAGCAAAATTTCAGTCCACAATGGGAGAACGTATAGCAAAAGGAGGTGTTTTGTCAGCATACACTTCATGGTTCCATGGCCTGTGGCACTTTCCAACAGAGCTGCCAACAGACTTAGGTGCCTGCAGGCTATGATACACCTTGCACAACTGCTCTCTTTTTCTCCTCTGCTTTTCAACTTCTCCCCAAGAAGTCAAGCCCTGGGGCTGGGCTCCCTTCAGCATCTGCCTGCAAATGGACTACAAAGAGGCATGCGTAACCCAATCAAGATAAGCAATCTGGAGTTATCTTTTCGTCCTAAGAGATGGAGCCATACCCCACCTCTCCATGGCAATGCTCTGTGCTTAGGATATGCAAGATGCAGATGCTGCAGCATTTCTGGGATCAAGAGAAACAGCATGACCCTGCCTGGTCACACGGCAAATAGGGTTGATGCAGGGGACGAGAGTAGGAGGGAGCTGCTGGGGATGGCGGTGCTGCCAGCCTGTCTGCCAGGAGGTGAACAGCATTGCATGAAAAGCAAATTACACCTTCACAACCGTTTAAACCTCTCTAATCTAAAGCGTCGTACTGGTAACGCGTGGAGGATTGCCTTTTAATCTAGAACATGAGTATAGGCTCGTTAGCCAGATGGCATCTATTTAGACCTAAATAAAGGGGAGCTGCATCAGCCAGCAAAAAAAAAAAAAAACAAAACAAAAAAAAACACACAAAAAAACCCAGCAAAACATATTCCCTTACCAACACAGCCCATGCAGGAGCCCAGATGGCTTCGAGTTCGCAGCAGGACATGAGATTTTTGTGGGCTGGATAGGAAAGCAAGCATGGCTGGGCACACAGGTTTTGCAGGGCAGTGGGACCAGCCCAGCTCCAAATGCCTCTCCAGGGCAGCAGATGGGGCACTGAAAATGGGGAGCGCAGAGAAGAGACAGGACATTGCTGCTGGATTGATGGCAATAAGTTTGCACCACGAGGACTGGTGGTGAGAGCAGATCCTCACACACCATGACACCTACCCCTGCCCTCCCGAGTGAACAAATCACTCTCCCTGTACCTCAGTTTCCCCGCCTGCAAAGTAGAGATAATGGCCTTTGAAAGCTCGGGTTGAGGAGATTTACCACTAATTACTACATCGTTATCACTCTGTGCTTCTGTTCTGCTCCTCCTTTCCCCATGCCAGCTTCCCAATCTGCATCCTGCACTCATCCTCACCACATCCTGTGTGACACTGCTGCCATTCATGTCCCCATCCCAGTGAGGATGCAGCCACCCAAGGCTGCTCACTGCAGCCTCAGTGCTGATGTTATCTCAAGCATCGCACTCCCAATCTCACATCTACTGCTCCTCCTGGGGATCACAGCCTCCCACCCTTTCTGCTCCTCATCTTATCAAGTCATTAAAATAATTGCTGCTGCTTCTTCCTGCCTGCCTGCCTGGCAGTCTCCCCTGAGGCAAGACCCGTGCACAAATGGGTACCACAGGGAGGGGATTCTCAAGAGTGATGCTGCTTGGCTTACAAGGGCAGAAGAGAGCAGGGAAATGGCCACGGTCCTTTGGGAGCCCACAGTGCCCAGTGCCAGCACAGAGTTCCCACTGCTCAGCTGTTTTTGCCCCTGAAAATCCCCATTTCATCTCAGAGACAAGCCCTGCAGCCAGGCAGGAATCGGAGCTATTTCAGTGTGAAAAATCTAGCGAGAAAACCAACTTTTCCTCACTCAAATCACAATTTCCCATACAGCATTTGCTTCATTTGCCTGTTTTGCCCAAAGCCATTATTATTCTTTTTCCAAACACATAACAAAACTTCCAACATTTCTGCATATGCTTCCAATGCAAATTTCCATTGGCTGCATGTGCTCATCTAATGGTGTTTCTAACAGATGCCTGCACCCTGACAGGCAGCTGCACGGGGCAGCATACAGCAGAGCACCAGTCGTGCTTGAACAGAAGGGACCCTGGGTTGTGTCCCTGTTCCTGCAGGAAACATATGAAAGGTGACAGCAGGGAACCACGTTTGTATCACAGCAAACTCAGTGGTGGGGAACTCAATCTTCTGCAGAAAAGCAGTTCGGGCAATATTTGCTTTTGCCCCTGCGGTGAATATTTCTTGGCAGCAGAATGGAAAGTAGAGCTCTGATGGTCATTCTTAGAGGCTGTTTCAATGCGGACATGAGCATGATCTACTCCAGCAATTCTCATTCTATCCAAATGTGCTTCCAGCGGCGCTTCCCCTGGGTCAGACAGGCTCTTTGTAAGCAAGATGTGGCCAGCACGAAGATGTGAAGACAAGACCCATGCCTGCCCCTGAGCTAGGGTGAGGGGCACAGCGATGAGATGTGAACTGTTGTGGTGTGATGAGGTGGGACTGGCAGCATAAGGATGGGGAGTAGGTATCTAGCCAGAAAACAAGATGCCAACCTCTGCAGCAAGTCCCAGGGTCCTCTTCTTCATTGGCTCAGATTCCTTCCCACCTCCTGTTAATGTGATCCCCAAAGCCATGGAGACACTTGCTGGTTAATGAGGTAGCAACCAGCTACGGCCTGCTGAAAGCTGCTTGGCCATCCTGCGGGCGTCTGCCAGAAATGTGCAGAAGCAGCCTTGGTTTCCAAACCTCATGACCGCTCGACAGCCTTCTGTCAGGAAATTCCCCCCAGCTCTGCTGTTACAGGACCCAGCTCCCTAGTGGTGATCCAGAAGAGAAAAAAGCCCAAAACCTCAATTAACTCATTTCCTCCCTGAATGTCTCCACTGCAGCTCTGCCAAGAGCCGTCCTGGGCTCTGTACCATGGTGAGCCCACACTACTGACACCAACTGCAGCTGCTGTGGTACACCTGCACCAGTGGTAGGCATGAAGCTCTGCCTGCGCTGCACGTGCCCATAACAGCACTGCAGAACACCTGCACTACAGATGCTGACTGCTGATGTTACAGCACACCTGTCCTGCAGATGCTGGCTGTAAATGCTATGGTATGCCTGCACTTCAGGTGCTGACTATGGACACCCCAGAACGCCTATATCCTGAGGAGATGTGACAACTTTCTCTGCTGCTGGGACATGATGCTACACCTACATTGCAGACACTGACTGCAAACAGTGCATCTGCACTGGAGATGCAGCAGACAAACTCTGATGTTGGGCATCAGATCAACAGGAAAAGGCTGACCATGGCCACCTGTGGTTGCTCAGTCAGCCCTCTGCTCACAGAGCCTATGCTACAGCTGTCCCATGTGAGAGCTGCATGGGACAGAGAGACATCCCTATCACTAGTCCCTTTTCATGATAGCAAAATGGAAAACAGACCACAATACCCTTGCTCAGCATCTAACGTGAGAGGTTTATTTGCAGCCCTAAAGCTCTGTTGCTTCACAGTGCCTCATCAGCACTGGACCTTATTTTTTAGCTCAAGAGAAGACAAGCTTTAGCATCTCTTAATACGTGTTTCATAAAGCCTTATCGGCAGGGTCAGCCATGTTACTTGAAAGTGCTCCTTAAATCTAATTTAAGCTCCCACTGTCAAGATGGTGATTAGCACACTGCCCGCCCAGACCAAGCGCTGCTGGACCACTAGAAATTAATTGGCTCCTTGCTCTTGAGAACTTCACTTCTTCCCTGCCTGGAAGAAGGAGAGATGGATGGAAAATGAAGGGAAGTCCTCCAAAAAAATTCCCATCTGTTTTGTTTGAAGACATACACACCAAGGCAGCCATAGGCTTAGAATCATTAAGGTTGGAAGAGACCACTAGTCCATCTGCTTAAGGGGCTTCTGGCTCTATCACATGAATGCTTGGAAAGCACTGGAAAGCTTGGAGGCACGACATAACCAGGACCTCAGTGAGAATGGCACCCACCAGATCTTCTCACTGTGCTCACAGGGATGGAAGAGGTGGCTCTGCTGGAGCATAACACCAGAACAGCTTTCCAGGAGGCACAGCAGGGAGCTGAGAACATTGAGAGATGTGTGAGCATCCCAGAAACATCACAGGCTGATTGGGGAACTGCCTGCTTGGACTCTGGGACAGGTGATTGCTGGCTTGTGTGGATCACAGACGTGATGGGCAGGGAGCTGTGGACTAGAGATCCCCTAGGACAACCAATCTCAGCCACTGCCCTTGTCTGCAGGGCTGGGAGGATCACAGCTCCAGGAACAGAGTGGGTACCCTTCCTTTTAAGCCAGCTCTATGCAAAATGACAAAGTGAGTTCCACCACATTAAAACTGCGGACGATACCCTGATGCTGAGAAGGGGACAGTAGGTGCTACGACCTGCCCTTCTCCAAGGACAGGAAGGGGACCATCCTTGCAGCATGGCTCTCTGCCAGACGTGTCCTACCTTCTTAAGCATCACTCAAGCTCATTACTGGGATCATCTCCAGCAGCCCTGTTTATGAACAGCCCTTGGCTCCACAGCCATTGTTCTGGCCTAACGCACGGGCAGCTGCCTGCTGCCGTCTGTCCCCTCTTCCTGTCTCACAGAGGGACGTTTCCTGCAGCTCGTACCTGTTCTCACCACTGCCACCAAATGAACCAGCCTATCTGCAAGCGAAGGGCAGCGGTCCAAGCCCAGCCATCTGTTCCAGCGGTGATAAAAGGCAACACAAAGCTTGGCATACTAATAAGCGACGCGTGTCTTTGAAATCAGTTCTGGGAGAAAGCATGGGAGGGCAGGAGGAGGCTGAATCTTT